GTCTTCAGGCGTAATGATGGTGTTAAAGTCATGGCCAAAGACAACCTGCTGGGACGTAAAAAGGAAGGGCTTGATCTTTGTGAGGAGGCATTCCTGCCCCATTTTGACTGCGGCCCCTTATCAGGCGCAGGTCCTGCCCCCTAACAGAGACGTCTAAGACCATGCATCTCCCCATTTCTACCTCAATTACCCGCCGGCACGTTACCATATAGGTCTTAAAAAGCACCTCAACTCCGCTGCAGGGCTCAGCCGCAAGAGACCAAAAGGAGGTACCGCATCTCCACTCCCTTTTTGGTAGATAGACATTGCTCAAAGTATTGAGCCAGGTCTCTTGCAAAAATAAAATTTCAGCATCAAACTCGCTGAGCAAAAATAAGGCCGAATCACGAGCTCTTGCAGATCTAATGCTGGCGACATTAATGGTCGCCACCTTTAACGGAGCGGGAACTGCCATCAGGATGATTGGGGTAGACGTTTCTTAACCTCAACCACACTCTCATCATCTGAAACAACTCTCTTCAGACTGTGTGACTCCCCCTCATCCATAGATGATAAGGAAATGGATATATCAGACATATCTCATCCTCTGACAAAACTGAAAATACATTTTCAAGAGGAACCCCTCCTGGGTCCGACTCTGAGGAAGAAAGGACCGCTCGTCTCATCCTCTTCTTCTTTTTCTTCCCCTTAACCCTTTCGCTGCCAAGCCCTCGGGAACATTTTTCAAATCAGCTGGCCAAGCCCTTTTTGTGTATTTTTGATAATAGCAGTCATCAGCGGCTTGTGAGCCGCTGATGACAGCTATTAATTTAAAGGGGACAGTCTGCTGAACAGTTCTACTATAAGCTGATGGTCGCTAAAGCGACCATCAGCTTATAGTAGAACTGTAAATGCCAGGTCCGTATGGCATATTGAGCTGGCCAGCTGGAAGCACTTTTGTACGTCCGTATGCCATACGTCCTTGGCAGCGAAAGGGTTAACCCTCTCCCACCCACCATCAACAGAAACCCCTTCAACAGGACATGGGACATGGACACCTTTCTTTCAACCACACCTCCGTACTCTCCTGACCACGTTTGTGCTGTTCAGGGACAGGTACCAGAGGTGGTGCAGGCATAGGAAGATCTGCCAAACCCGCCCCCCCAGCAGCTTCCGCTAGTCTGGAGGATCTACGTACAAGAATTTTAGGAACCACTACAGGAGGGACAGACTCAGGGACCACATTACTAGGGGAGACAGAACCTGACACAACAAACCTGACACAGAAGGGGCAACACAAGTTTCCTCCCTAGCATCAGCTGCCTCATCCTCCTTATCCAGCCTCTGCAGCTCGGCCTCCAATCCTGGCAAGTTATGGAGTGCCTGTGGGCACTGACTATATGAATGACCCAGCTGCATTCCCTGGCCAAATGGCCTAAATCCTGGCACAGTGAGCACTTCTTGATGGTGCAGGACGATGCAAAATGACCTTTCTCTCCACATTTGTTGCAAACCTTAGGCTGACCCTGATAGAAAATGGTCAGTCTATCACTCCCCAGAAAGGCTGAGAAGGGCAGGTGCTGAACTACATTGCCCAGCACCCACAATTGCAGTGACACTGTCCAGACCTCTGTCTATATCCCATGCTCATCAAGGGCCTTCCGCAGTGGGGGGAGGACCTCGCCATATCGGCGTAACCACACTACCAGATCAGCTTCAGTTATGGATTCATCCGAACCTGGATGGTTACTGACTTTATCAATGGCTGCCTTGAAACCACCTTTGGCACCAAACCTCTCCACTGCTGGAGGCCCCTGCACTTCCTATATCGCTCCCAGAAAATATCCAGACCTTCAGGCTTCATAAACGATAAATCATATTCATAGCTCCCATCTGGACAAGTTAAAGCAAAAACATCAAAGGCTTTAAAACCCATTTCCAAAATCAGCTCAGCCACCCCCCCCTTGCTGGTGGGGTCCCCTCCCACCTCAACTGTACAACATTAATTCTCCTGTACCCACCAACTAGCCCACCACCAAACCTCACCGAATTGCCACCATTCCCTCCACCCTCCTTGGTACGGCTCCCCAAAACAGAAGCATAGCTCCCCACATTCCTCCCTGCAGAAGAAACATCTGACACAACTTTAGCAGATCTCGATTGTACAGATTCGAGATTGGATGGTGAATCCCTTTTCTGCTGGGCAGGGGGAGAAATGTCAGCAACATTAACCCCCTCACCACCAACAGATCCATTACTCCAACATCACCAGGCACATTATTTGCAGGCACGCTCATAGTCTCTGCTTTCTTCACAGCAGTGTCCACACTCTCTGCTGCTCCTCCAGGCATGTCCTCCATCAGGACCAGGCTTTCAGCTGTGGAAAGTGAAGGCCGTTCTGACACAGCAACAGGTGAATCACTCACACAGGCGACATCCATGGCTGCTTCCATTCCACCTGCAGCACTGTGCTGCTCCCCTCCCCCTCCAGCACCCATCAGCTCTGGAACACAGGGAGGCTCAGGTGCAGCAAAGACTTTACTGCTGGCGGACATCTTGCTTGCAGCACTCTGAGAGGCACTACCGGTCTCGGCATAGGCAGGTTTCTTTGCAGAGCTCCTTCTGCTCCACAGCCGGGACACCATCCACCACAGCCGGTGGGGCAGACATATTGGAAGGCAGTCTGGTGTATTGAGATTTCACCATTACTGGCTTTGCTGGCCTGTACCTCCTCTGCCCATCCTCAGGGTTTTCTGATGGATCATCAGAAAAGGCAAACTTGTCTGCCCTCAGGGGTGACTCCATCTGCTGAATGAACTTCAGGGTGCTGTTTCCACTCTCAACCCCCTGGCTGGTTGCCGCGGACGATTCCCCAGCCTGACATGGGGGGAGAGGTGCTGAGGCAGATGGTGCAGGGTCAGGCTGCCCATCCACAGACTCTGCTGATGTCTGGCTGGCGAATCTTCTTTCATTGTTGAACTTTTCTTTAAAAGCTCCACTTCTGGCTTTCAGCTTCTTCAATAATAAAGTTTCTTTACTTTTTCTCCCTTCAGCTGCAACTCCGGCGTCATGGGCGATCTGTGCTTACTCCAGGCCTGGCAGAATCTGATCAGCCTTCAAAACTTTCAGCTTCCTCTCAGCTTTTCTTATTGCCATCAACCGATGAATAATCTTCTGACTGTAGACATGACCGTCCAATCACGACGGGGCGGCCCGAGGCTCCGCCCACCGGCTCCGTAGTTTGCGGCCGGCGGGCACCTTACACCGGAGCCTGCAACTTCCCACAAGGTCACCGGTGCCGCCCTCTGCGCTCTGCCGCCCCGAGGCCGGGCCTCGGTGGCCTTGTGGGAAATCCGGGCCTGGTCACATCCTCCTCACTGGGCCCTGTGTCATCAGGGTGATCTGTCCCAGGGCCTCCCCCAGGATCAGGCATTGTTGCTGTGTCAAGCTAGCAGGCAAGGCCCAGGCTTTAAATTGCTGGTTCTCAGAGAGAGAGCTCCCTCAGTGTGTGCTCCTCCTCTTCCCACTGATCACCAATGTAAGGAGCATTCTTCCCAATGACCACCAAAGTAAGGGGCATTCTTCCCACTGTCCACCAATTTAAGGAACATTCTATGCCCTGACCATCAACGTAAGGAGCATTCTCCCCAATGACCACCAATGTAAGGAGCATTCTCCCCATTGACCACCAATGTAAGGAACATTCTCCCCATTGACCACCAATGTAAGGAACATTCTTCCCATTGACCACCAATGTAAGGAACATTCTATGCCCATTGACCACCAATGTAAGGAGCATTCTCCCCACTGTCCATCAATTTAAGGAACATTCTATGCCCTGACCACCAATGTAAGGAACATTCTTCCGATTGACCACCAATGTAAAGAACATTCTTCCCACTGACTACCAATTATAATTTGTACTGTCAGCAATTTGTTCAGCTCACACGATGGGTCTGCGTACAGTGAAATTTGAGTCAAAGTAGCATGTACAGAGTTCAAATATGAACCTGGTCATTCTGGCTAGACCCCTTCCTCCTGCCACATCCACTACTGTGGGGCTTTGGACTAGGGTTGCCACCTGTCCAGGATTCACCCGGACAGTTCGGGTTTTGAATGCTGTGTCCGGGTTTCATGGCAGCAGAAACCCGGACACATGATGTCAGGCAGACAGGGGCAATGAAAATTAATATAGGGGCTACTGGTCCCCCACAAAAAATTGCCTCAACTGTGATATTTACATATTAATGGGTGGCACTATTTACATATGAATAAGCCGCGACTCCAAAAAAATGTCTACGCATCGCTAGAGTGTTCGGGTTTCGCTTGAAGAAAAGGTGGCAACCCTACTTTGGACACTCCTCACATTTACACTGGCAATGATTAGCATTTATCTTTTGTGACAACAAATTATTTTAGCAGCACCACCCCTGGAACTTGCCCTTTAAAATGCTGGCGGGCATGAGAAAGTAGTGATCAGACACACATACATTGTTCACGCCAGCTTATTGCGACATAAACACATTTCTGCACAATATAATTTAAAGAGTGAATCTGCCGGCTTGCAGGGAACGTGCTTGTATTTTGATTATTCTTGTACCTTCCCAGTCACCGTAGAGGAACTCCCAGTCCTCCCCCCCCCTTTCACCGCCTCTCTTTTAACTAGCTGTCTCCAAACCCAGTAAAAGAGCTGTGGGAGGAGGGACAGAGCCCTGAGCAGTAACAATGTAGCTTTTCTGTCTTTCCCAGGAACCCCTGCCAGTCTCTGATGTGCTGTACACAACATGTGATCTTTCAGACTAAATATTGCATGATCCTCCCCTGTGATCACTGGCTTTCAGTGATCTGAAGACTTTGGCAGCTCCATGCACACAGGCTCATTGCACAACAGAGAGGCTGCGAGCAGTTGCTGTGCCAGTGCCTCCATATCGGGGGCAGTTGGGGTGCAGCCGGGAGCCGAGCCAGGGTCCTGATCCTGCACCTTGCATGGTTGGGCTGCTGGAGCGTAGAGGGGTGACACTTGCAGCTATGATACTGCAGTGTGGATGTGAGCCAGGGAAGGGGGCTTTGCTGTGAAATAGATTTTCTTTTTCGCCTGCTGCAACTGGGAGAACTTTTGTCGTCTGACTGACAGCAGATCACACAATCTCAAAGTTCAGCCCAGCTGACATCACAAGCCGCTTGCTCCACAACCCCAGACTTGTCCTTGCAGGGACATGCGAGAGGCTCTTCTGAATTCTGTGTGCTGTTACTGGATCACCTGGGCGCCGGGGTCACTGAGGCAGGGGTCGTCCCTAAGCCTCCAACGTAGAGACGAATAAGCTTCCCCCCGCCGCTGCTGCTACTGAATTGGCTGCACAGAAGGAGAACCCAAAATTGCAGGTCAGTAGTTGAAGCATGCTTCTTTTTTTTAAGTAAGCGGTAACCCCTAACAACTTTATTGTTCTAAACGGAGTCTGGTTGCTATGGGATACTGCAGTTTGCACATCGCTGCCGCCTGGGTGTGAGACGGTGCCGACCAACTTCCAACAAAGAAGGTCATTCCATATGGCTGCAGATGTGTGCATTTAACACTGGCAGTGTGGAGAGCAACTGCCGTAATCGGAGGTAACCAACGCCGTTGCGCTTTGTGCTGATTGGTTACTATGGGATACTAATTAAGCCAAGGTGATGTGTGTGTTTGCAGTCTCTTTGATGTTTCTTAGGGCCCATTCACACCGGTGCAGTCGCAACACAAGGACAGGGCGATTTTCCTTGTACAGGATTGGCACAGTTAACACCACGGCAACGAGATCCGAAAAACGGACTGCATGCTGAACTTTCGTAAAGCAGGACGGTGCGACACAATGCACCACATGGCAACTCGCTGAGGCCCATAGAACAGAAGAAAATAATAACTTTTGTGACATTTTGTAGAAAGTTGACCAAAAAAAAGTCAGTGTGAGGCAGCGACGCAGCCTGGAAAGAGCGCCCCAGAGGTTGCGTTCTAAGGAACGGACCCTTATTTTTACTTCCCATGCACATGCATGTGCGTTTTTCATGTCGCATTGCACAGGTCCATTTATTTCCTACAGGCGTTTTTAGAATAAGAAAACGCAGGCGTGGCACCCATTGAAATCACTGGGCGACGTGTGGCAGAAACGCACACGAGCGTGCGATCCCACATCGCACTGTGTGAACGGGGGCTTATGCATCTGAGAGCCAAAACATTCAGATTCAGGCTCCATTCGCACATAGTGTTTGTGTTTCCCGCGCAAATGACTGTACGGGAGGGAAAAGCAAAACATTTTTTCTGCACGGATGCTGCTCATTTGCGGCTATTAAATACTATTTTGGGGGCCACACGGTTTTGTATGCAATAGTCTGAACGTTGCACATGAAAGTGCATTGTTTTCAGCAGCTCCGCGGGTATCCGTACAACCGCTCTCAGGCTGCACCCGCGTGGGCCTCCTGCGTTTAGGTAATTTAAATGCAGAGAAATGACAGAGGAGCAAGCTCTGCTGCATTTAAATGGACGCGCGTTTACATGCATTTCCATGTGGCTGATGTGCTACGATTTCTGGCGTGACTGATGCAGGCGATTCTATAACTGGTATCAAAGGGTGTTAAAACAAAACAATCGCTCAGTGACCGAAATACAATTGGCAGAAATCGATGTAACGCAGATCTTCATTATGAGACCGGATTTAGGCAGCGCCAACAGTCTGCGTAACGCTTTACAAAATGGGATCTTCATTGCCATTCAGATTTAAATAGGAATACAAATGGTAATGAGGAATTAAAGAGCTGCTACCAAATAACTTATAAGTACGACTCTCCACACACCTGAGAGTTTCGTCACGTTTCCCAAAACACGACAGCTCAACATCAACAATCCCATTCTTTCCAGTCGTGCCCGTTCGCACCTCACATGCTTGAAGTTGGTACTTCTTTTTGGGCAGAATCAAGCGTGTTGGGCCCCATAGACTTTAATGGCACAGTTTTTCATGCAGATTTGGGCCCAACAACCGTCTTCTTCCTCCTCTTCTTAGTAAATAACTTACCATTGGCTAAAACTAAAACACTCGAGCCTAAAAAAACCGCGCAATACAAAACTCCCAAAAATGCACAGGAAAGCGTTTTCACACGGGCTGACCAGGAGGGGGATCCATGCATGAAGGGGTACAGATCTTGCATTGGTGGAAAAAACTGAAATGGCCGTACCCCGTTTTGGTCTATGGAAATGTGTCCCTTTACGTCAGATTACACAGGATCCGACACAATCGGGTCCGCCGAAACAGAACACTTGTCTGTTTGTTTTTCAGGGTCAGGGGTAACCGGGTTTAAATGGAAGCCTGTCCATATAAAAGCATCTGCCAATAGACTAGCATTGGGCATACGACCAGGTCCGTCTAACAAAACTGACAGACGGACTGGATTGGACCGCCCGTCTCAAAGGAACCTGAGTGTGCATGGAAAAGCATGGCTTTGGGCACCTTTTGTATTTATACTTTCCAACCCTGCAAATCAGGGGTGGGCAACTCCGGCTGTGCTTTAGCTACAAATCCCAAAATGCCTCTGCCTCTGGGAGTAATGCCTGTTACTGTCGGTCATGCAATGCCACATGGGACTAGTAATGTGTATATAGTTATAAACGATTTGGAGTGGATGCAGGGGTGGAGACCGGGTGACACCTCGCAGTGACATCATCGCTCATGCGCGTGACGTCACCACTCGCATGTGCGATGACGTGATCTCGCACGTGCAGTCATTTAATTGAAGCCTGCTGGCGGCCATCTTACTGATGGACGCCAGCAGAGAGAGGAAGGGACGTTCACCCGGCGGGAGGAGGTATGCCGCTGCCTCCCCTCCTCTCTCCTGACACTGTCGGGCTCTCGGGCCATGACCGAGTGCCTGACTTTTTAGAGAGGGTGACACCAAAATGACTGTCATTTTGGTGTCACCCCTCCAATGGTGTCACCCGGGTGCGGGCCGCACCGCCCTTGTGACGCCACTGAGTGCATGCAAGACTGCATGTACGTTTGTTCTGTGTGAATGAAGAAAAAAACAAATGCTAGCATATTTTCTTTCAGGTAGCCAAAAAAAGGTTGCCGTTTGATGGAGTTGAGAAACATAGTAGAGAAGAATTTATTTCTTGTGCTTCTCGGCTCCATCTAGTGCTCTCAAGGAGATATTTTCCTGATATTACATTTGACCTGGAATGCAACATAAAATGTTGCTTCCGTCCACATAGAACAAATGTGCGTGCAATTTCGCAGGGTGAATGGCTTTGCAAATAGTTACCTCGGTACCTGCTGACTTGAATACTGCTTCCTAGGCTTTATTGAGCTGCTCAGACAGTACAATGTGAGCTGCACTTGTGGCTCCCTGCAGCATTGGGAGGTGCCTGTAACAGAAACCAATTCCGGTGTTATACTTCTGTCCT